CATCCGGATTTCAACTCTACTCGTCACCCTGATCACTTTGGTATATATAACCCTATATCTGACTCTTTTAGTTTTAGGGCTTACAAACAACCGTTATGTGAACAAAACTWTAATACTCTCTTTAGCAACTTTGTTGCGAGAGTATAAAAATGTTCTTTTCGCATATTTGCATTCTCACAACATACGAAATAAAGATGAATGGTTTGTTGATTCGGGTGCTACTTCACATACGGATATGACAAAATTGATTGTAAATGCAGTGCCCATAGAAAATAAAAGCATTCTAACTGCAAATAATGAAGTAATTAAAGTTAGCTCAAAAGGTGACGTGCTAATAACATAAAAACAAATGCTGTTGTAAAATCGTTGAGTATGTGCCGGAGTTATGTGCGTATTTGTTATCGGTACGCGTAGTGTTCGAAGGTGATTAATGCAAGATTTACAATAATGTTTATAATTTGATAGCCACCGCAAATGTTGTAAATGATCTGTTTCGTTTAAATTGTAAAATTGAGTACAATTGTGATTCACCAAGTAAAAATGCGTTTTATGTGTGTCGATTATATTTTGTAGCACAGAAGAACGGGAAATGTACTTCTGATGGTATAAACTTTAGAAAAATTAATACGGAGAAATGCGTAGTTTGTGTGAAAGAAAAGCAAACGCGTGCATCTTTTAAAAACAGTGTTACTCGGGCAGAAAACTTTCTTGCTCGTTTCTGGTGCTCGGAAACAGAAAATTGACATTCGTAGATGATTTCTCGAATAAGTTGTTTGTGGTGTCAATCAATAACAAATCAGAAGCGTTTACTAAATTTGTAAAATTACAGAAACTTATCGAAAATCAGCGTTCGCGCAAAATAACGGTGTTAGGTCGCACAATGGCGCGGAGTTTTGTGATTCAGAAGCAATTATTCATCAAAAAACATCACTTTATACACATGAGCAAAATGGTGTTGCGGAAAGATTAAATAAAACAATTATTGAAAAAGTGCGGTGCATGTTAATTGATTCGGGTTTACATAAAAAGTTTTGGGCAGAGGAGGCGAATACAGCTGTTCCATTCGGGTCTCACGCGAAAGGTCCCTATGAAATTTTGACTGGTAAAAAACCTAGCTTAGAGTTTTTAAAAGTGTGTGGCTGTAAAACCATGATGCCTGTGCCAAGTGAAAAGCGAAAGATACTGGATGATAAATCGGTTGAATGCATAATGATGGGTTATTTTTATTGAAACCGAAAATAAATATATAATTGAAATGGACTATTGTTGTGAATTTCTTACAGGTGTGAATTTTTCAACATTGACGACTCAGAAGATGTAGAGAGTAAAGAATCGCAAATGGTTGAAAACATGCAAACTAAATGTATGTATTAACAAACGCGAAAGTTAGTGAATAATAAGGTAGACGCTGATTCATCTGAGTATGAAAGTACAAATGACTCTGATGGAATTATAGTTTCTGGCAATCATATTAAGGCGTTCAAAAAGAATCACGGCAAAGAAAGATGGCTACAATTTTTGTGTAACTAACTTTGTATCAAATGATCCTCAAAATTTAACTGGTGCTTTGGCTACTTAATATGCAGATGAGTGGAGAGTGGCAATTCAAGCTGAAATAGACTCTCTCCAATCGAACAAAACATGGAGTTCTAAATAATTACCTGTTGGTAAGAAAACCATTAAATCTAGTGAAATCAAAGTATAAAAACTTTATCGTTCAACTTTCATCAGAATTTTACATGAAAGATCTTGGTGAAGTATCCTCAGTACTTGGTAGGCGTGTTACGCGAGATGCTACGAAGGGTACTATAGAAATAAATAATGCGACCTGACATCAGATTTGAAGTTAATCTACTGAGTCGTTTTCTAAAACGTGTAATGAGTTATCTAAAAGGTACCATTAACAGAGAATTTTGTAGAGCAGGGAAGTAAATGATTTCACTGGATACTGTGACGCAGATTGAGCTAGTGATCTTGACAAAAGACGATCTACGATGATCTATGCTTAAGTTTTAGGGTGGTCCGATATCCTGGTGCATACAAAAGCATCGTACTGTTGCTTTATCATGGACATGACATCAGCTATTCAGGAAACAACTCATACGTCTACAAACCGAACTGACATCAGTTATGGTAAAAGTACCATACTTTACTGTGACAACAAAAAGTAAATTTGAATAACTCATATTCACTTAGTAAAAAATACGTGGATATAAAATGTAAATTTAGTTATTTATTTATTATTTGTAAAATAATAATACAATTATTATTATACATTAAACATAAGGGACACTAGCTGTAGAGGCTTTCAGCTCACGGTTTTAATATAAACGACTTAAATAATAAAGATGGAACCTTCCATTTAAGAATTATTTACAAGCAATATGTTTTTATGAACTAATATAAAGTAGAATCCGGTTATAACGACGCCGCTTAAAGTGTCCGTCCGGTTATTGCGACGACAACTCGATGGCTTGGTTGGTCCCCATACAAACTTATATGAAAGGGCCTCCGCTTAATACGTCTCCGCTTTTAGCGACTAACCGCTTATACCGACGAAATTTTTCAGAATTCAACCGCATATAGCGACGAAAAAAAAAAATCAGCGAAATAATGCCAATAAATTTAAG